GTCTCTGCTTTTTGCGGATGATGTGGTCCTCCTAGCTTCATCCAGCTCTGACCTTCAGCTCTTGCTGGGTAGGTTCGCGGCCGAATGTGAAGCGGCTGGGATGAGGATCAGCACCTCCAAATCTGAGACCATGGTTCTCGACCGGAAAAGGGTGGCTTGCCACCTCCGGGTCGGGGGAGAGGTCCTACCTCAAGTGGAGGAGTTTAAGTATCTCGGGGTCTTGTTCACGAGTGAGGTTAGGAGGGATCGGGAGATCGACAGGCGGATTGGTTCGGCGTCTGCAGTGATGCGGACGCTGAGCCGATCTGTCGTGGGGAAGAGGGAGCTGAGCCAGAAAGCCAGGCTCTCGATTTACCGGTCGATCTACGTCCCAATCCTCACCTATGGTCATGAGCTTTGGGTAATGACCGAAAGAACGAGATCGCGGATACAAGCGGCCGAAATGAGTTTCCTCCGTAGGGTGGCCGGGCTCAGCCTTAGAGATAGGGTGAGGAGCTCGGACATTCGGGAGGGACTCGGAGTAGAACCGCTGCTCCTCCGGATCGAAAGGAGCCAGTTGAGGTGGTTTGGGCATCTGGTCAGGATGCCTCCTGGACGCCTCCCCGGGGAGGTGTTTCGGGCATGTCCTGCCGGCAGAAGGCCCCCGGGTCGACCCAGGACACGTTGGAGAGGTTACATCTCCAATCTGGTCCGGGAACGCCTTGGGGTCCTGCCGGAGGAGCTGGTGGACAAGGCCGGGGAGAGGACGGCCTGGAGCTCCCTAATTGGGATGCTGCCCCCGCGACCCGGACCCGGATAAGCGGAGGAAGACGAAGACGAAGAAGACGAAGTAGTATCATTCATCCTTCAATCATGCACTTTAGGCTGTGGTAAAATAACTTTATGCAACATCTTATAGAATATGAATAAATCACACAATCTCTCGCTGTGTTAGGAATGAGTCTCATATGCAAGAACATCCTCATGAAGGAGACCACGCCTCCATATATGGGAGCGTATTACCATCAGTGCGCGGAAAAAAATTAAAGATCATTACCTTGTAATAAGGGGAAACATTCTCTCTAAAACGTAAATAAATCTCGTTTTAAAGAGAAACTGTCTTATTAAAACATGAAACGTTCTGTTTTAATGTGATATGTATGGCATCTTGTTTTAACAAGAAAGTTTCTCAAAATAACATGTTTTATGACTCGTAATAATGAGAAAGCTGTAAAAGGTGAAATGCAGACAACTAGCAGGATTTTTTAATCACGTAGAAGAAACAAAGGCCAAATCCCGATACTCGCACTCCCACACTTGCACTATTCATTGTGCGATCCTGACTAAGGGTGCGAGTGCTTAGGGTGTCCTGATTCTCAAGTGCGGAAGTTGATAACGCCTCTTGTGCACCCTGATCTGCACTTCACCCAAGTCCGCATTGATGGAAAACAAGCTCAAGTTTCTTTCCTGAACATATTTATTTTCTAATGAAAGTAGTTCATTTTATGACAGTTAGTTGATGCTCTAAAACTTTTAGACAAAGCAGCAACAGATGTAAAAAATTTAGAAATATTTGTTAGATTGTTTGTTTGTTTGAAAAATGTTAATAAAGTTTACATCATACATTGGTGATCTTCTCAGTCCCTACACCCCCAGCAGGTCCCTGAGGTCCAGTGATCGAAGCCTACTGGTTGTGCAGCACCAGGCTAAAGACCAAAGGTGACAGATCATTTGCTGCTGTGGCCCCCAGACTCTGGAGCCTGAGGTCAGTGGACTCAGAGGTCTCCTTTAAAAAACAGCTGAAAACTCACCTCTTCAGGCTGGCTTTTGCGTGACCTTCAACACCACCCTCCCTTTATTTTTATTCTTATCATTTTTTAAATCTTTTTTATATGTAAATTTTTTTGAAGCGCCTCGTGATTTCTATCTTGAGACGCTCTATATAAAAGATTGATTGATTGATTGATTGATTTCTTTCTTTCTTTCTTTCTTTCTTTCTTTCTTTCTTTCTTTCTTTCTTTCTTTCTTTCTTTCTTTCTTTCTTTCTTTCTTTCTTTCTTTCTAGATGTAGTAATAAGTCAGAAGAACATGTTCCTTCACACTTTTGCCAGGTCATCCTCCACTTTGAAAACAACGGAGAAAAAAGCCTGAGCCTTTACGATTTCTTTTCCAAGCAAAATAGCGGTTCTTCCGCTTTGTAGTTGAGGTGCAGCTTTCAAAGTAAAAGTTGACTTCCTGTTTGTGTCTTTTCACATTTAAAAACTTTTAAATGTTTTCACATTCACAAATGATGTGAATAAAATATACATCCTGATATTACACTTGCATGATCTTTCTGTGAGGTAAGTCTGTGCGTGTTTGAATGTTGTATTTGCCTACAATGAACACGACTTTTTGGTATGAAGAGTAGTCATTCTGTTGGCTTCGCTTGCTTGCTAAGCGCCTCGTGATTTTTATCATGAGAAGTGCTATAGAAATGATACTTTCTTCTTCTTCTTCTTTTTGTTTCAAGCACCATCGTTTGTCACTTTTACCCCAGTTGTTGTGGCGCTGCTGTACTTCCTAAGGTTTAACCCTTTAGGCGCCATAGTTTTTTCAGTAAAATATGAATTTTTTATATCACTATTTAAAGAGCTTGTAGCTTAAATCTGGTTAGAGATAGAGGAATGTTGTAAATCAGAAAAATCTTCAGTATGAGCCACATTTTGTGATAGGAACAAATTCACTCACATCATTTGCATATTATGACATCATCAGGTAGCAGCCATATCGGATTGCATCACATTAGCAGATTTTTTAAAAATGTTTTTGTCTCATTTTCTTAGTGTTGTTATTGTTTACGATACACATAAAATATTCCTATGTAGACATATATAACTATGTATGTATATATATAATATTTATGACTTTATTGGTATTTTGTTATGTTTACTGCAGATCAATCAAGAACACTGTTTCTGGTGCTTCAGTGTCATGAACACATTTCACTCATCCCTTCTATGGTTTATTTTGTTCATAATTGTTTTATATATGTATACATTTATAGACAGACAGACAGACAGACAAACAAGTAGGTAGGTAGGTAGTGGCTGAATAGATCATCAGTTTTCACCGGCCCGATCACCGCCACCACATCCCCCCTCCCCCCTGGCACGGTGGATCAAAGGATCAAACCTGGTACGAGACCTCCCTCCGCCACTTCTCTTTGCCCAACGCGGAACATCGGACAAGATAAGGGCTGGATGGGCAGCTTGTGTAACCGTGTCATCGCTGACGCCGTCAGCGCGCAGCAACAGAGAGTCCGTCAGCCTGACGGACTCTCTGTTGCTGCGCGCTGAAGCCACGCTTTCCGTCTCGCTAGAAGATGGCAGATCATCCTCGGACAGGAAATATTCTTCCTCCGAATCTGCCAGTACTAGATGAAGAGCTTCGTTAACACTGAACATTCCTCTCGGCATTGTGTTTTTTCCGCTACCACTCGCTCGCTCTCACTGATCTGACTGCTCTGACAACCTCTGCGACTGCTGGGCTGGGTTCAAGTTCTAAATACTTGAAAAGTTTGAATAGTAACACACCCACAAATGCTGCTTGGATTGAAGTTACAGGTGTCTGCCACCCCGCTGTGTAACATATTAACTATGAGGGCTGATTTCTGCTGCTGTGGCTTATTAAATCCAACATTGCTGCTTGTCGCAATTCTGCGACTTTGGCGCTTAAAGGGTTAACACCAAGAACTGGAAAAGCTGCCTCGTTCATTCGGAGTAGATCTCCAAATCATACAACTGGCCTTTTACTGTTATAATCTTTCTCATTTTTATGAGTTTTTAACCTCCTGGAAAGAAAACCTAGAAATTAATGATAAAAACTACACATTACTTTGGTCAGAACGGTGGTTTAACACGTCTCATTGTGAGATGTGGTGTTCTTATGGAGGTGTCAGAGAGCTTCAAGAGTCTCATAGCTCTGACACCTCCATAAGAACACCAGAGGTGTGTCAGAGTCTGGGACTTTGTTAGCACTGATCTGCACATGGTTTTGGATCTATAACACTCATGGATGATACATGGCAGAACTTCTTCCCTTTGTTCTGCAGCTACTGAAGCTGAAAGTCCCATCAGAGCAGACTTTTTCAACACGCCAGCAACCCGAGGAACAATTGTGTTATGAAGCATGTCACGTGGAATCATCGGTGTGTGTGTGTGTGTGTGTGTGTGTGTGTGTGTGTGTGTGTGTGTGTGTGTGTGTGTGTGTGTGTGAGACGTGGTAAACTCTAATCCTCCCTAAACCATAGTGGATGTCCATTAGTGTGATGTGCTGCTACACATCTTTCCTCATCTGTCTCTTCCTCTCTTCCTCTGTGATCTTTGATTTCCTCGAAACGCAACATGCCCAACACAAGTTTTGACTTTATGAGTCTGTTAAGATTGATGATGTTAGATTAAGTTTATGAGTTCTGCAGACGAGCGAAAAATTAGATCTTACTGACTCTGCTAGGGTCTTTGTTCCTTTCACTGAACACAACTGACTTTAGAAGCTTTCTTACTGTTAAATGTGATTTCTAAAAGGCAGCGTGGGAAAAAAGTCATGTTTTGCCTCTGAGTCACCAAGAAGGTACTGACAGACCTGTCCTGTACTCAGTTTTATGATGAAGGTGGAATGATGTCATCAAGTTGTGGGTGAGTCTCCACCTTAAGAGAGAGAGCGATGGTAGGACGTAGTGGTAGATGGAGAAAAAGATCAGCTGAGGTGACTCAGGCTCTTGATTAGGAAGCTTCCAGGTCGACTTGTTCTGCAGGGTTTCAGGGACCTGCGGGTTTCTGGGGCAGACGTAGAAATTTCTGGAGGGATTTTGCTTGGGATCTGCAGAAGGAGATGAAGGTTGTTGCTGGGCAAACGAACATCTGGGCTTTTCTCCACGATGCCCCATCCTAAACATAAATTATGGATGGAAGATTCCATTGTGATGTCACCACATTCACTCAGTCGCTGTAGCACCTCACATAAACAAACCAGAAGCATGGTTCCGTTCTACAGTTTTGATGATTTTATTGGCATTTTACCAAGGTACATTTTATTTTACAGTGATGGTCACAGTCTGGAAAGACATGAAACAGAGTGGCACTGTTGCAGATAAACATCAGCTTCCTGTGAGTGGCCTACATTTGTAGCATATTTTCCTGGATAAATGGATTATTCAGTATGTTTGAGTAGGTGAAGGACATGCGTGACACTTTTCGATATTGAAAGGGTTTAATGATGGGTTGCTGTTACGTGAAGAGGTCATTGACCTTTCTCTAAATGTGCTAGACACTAGCACTCACTTCAGCTGACCTTTGGTCTCCCTTTAAAAACAGCCTCTCAGGCCTTCGTGTTTCCGTTTCAAACCACACATTAATGTAACTTTGCACACATATACTGAGTTTTAAGCAAAATGAAGTTTTATCAGATTTTAATGCATGAATAAATGATGAAACCCTTGTTTTTGAGTGGTTAGATTCAGCTCCCTGAGGAAACGGATAACACTATTCAACCTATGGCATTCAGTTCTTTCAATACTGTCCCATTTGTGTGGTTGGTAAACCACTGGAGCGAAGTCCATTCAGATAGTACAAATCCTTTTGTTTTTACTTCCTCACTAATAAAATCTGAGCAGCTTTACATCTTAATGAAACATCTTTGAACAGTGGCCTAGTTGTACTACTTATTCCACAAATATCATATATATGGCCTTATCATGTAGCTTCATGACATCCTATCTGATCAGTGTTATGAATATGCAATACCAGAATACTGACTGAGGGAAACAAGGTGAACGCACAGATTGTTTTACACAAAAACTTAAAAAAAAAGAGAATGAAGAGAAGACGAGTGATCTAAAGCAAAGATGCACTATGTACAGCAGGGAGATGGTTGGAGAGGATGTTGTGTAACTAGAAAAATCCAAAGAGCGACATCACTGAACAACACTGACAAAGGGGGGTGGGGGTGGGGGGTGAATGATATGTGCATGTGTGCAAACTTCTACCAGTATCACAATAAAAGCATGACTTTGCAGTGCCTGCTGTCATTATTGGTGTTGGGGGCAGGGCTGGGTTTGGTCGCTGTTGTTATTCTGAGGGGTTTAAAGGGAAGAAAGCACTTTAAGCTGCAGTTTAGCCACTTCCCAGCATCTTTGTAGCACGCTGGTTGGCCTCGTCGATCCTGGTCTTGTTGGAATCGGCCTGAAAGGGAAAAGATATACAACTTAGTTACAGGAGAGATGTTGTAGAATGTACAACCTAAGAAAGGGTTTAAACTCTGTCTAATAGTTTATCTCAGCAATGAGACCAACAGTATGAAAATAAGCATGTAGTATAAAGTTGATGTAAAGATTTATAAGAGATTACTTTATTCCTCCCTAGAGGGAAATAGATTATAATTTAAATGCGTGGTTCACTCATTTAATCCATACATTTAGATGTTTTATCTTCACAAATCAAGCCAGGAGGAGTTCTGCTGTGTGGTGGAGTTGCTAATGCTAACTTGTTACCTTCTACTAATTGAGTGTTTTTAATACATTTGCAGTAGTTTTGGGTAGGAATGGATGCCTTTTAAGTTGTGCTCTGGGGAAAAGAAGCTCCAGTACTCCTGTTTGAGGACAGAAAATTCAGCCAGAGGAGAAAGTAGCTTCAGACGACCACATTTGGAGTCTTGTTTCCTGATATTTGGAGATCTCACCTCTGATTGTCTAACAGCAGTGCAGCTCTACCCCTGACTCCCTTTACTCTGCATCTCTGATGTTTTATCTCCACAAATAACTCAAGCCTGAAGGAGTTCTGCTATGTTGTGGAGTTACTAATGTTAACGACTAGCCTCTACTAGCTGGGACATTCTCTGCTGTTTCCTGGACGCTAAACCAACAACAGCCTTCCCCATTGTGAGTCAAGATGGGTGAGTCCATGAATGTTAAGTGTCACAACCAGAACTTGGAGGACCTGTGATGACACCAAACACAGTAAGCATTTAAAAAGTCTATTAGCCAGGAGCTAGGACGTGGAGGTGTTACCGGGGTAATACTCAGGTAAGGGCAGAGACAAAGACAGGTGTGGGTCGAAGCCAGATCGGGAATAAGCATGTACAGAGACGTGGCCGAAGACAGGCGAGGGTTGTGGTGGCAGGCAGAGTCCTTGGCAAGGGTCAGGCATGGAAACGAGGTCAGGAAGCTATGATACAGGCAGAGGTTGGAGTGCTGGAGAATTTACTGGCATGAGCATTCAATAATCTGGCACTGAATGGTTGGATGGTTGGTTCTTAAGTAGTAGGGGAAGCAGGTGTGTGTGATGAGCTGAGGAGTCAGGAGCAGGTGAAGTGGATGAAGCTGATGAGACGCAGGCTGGGATTGCTGTGGAAACTGGGTTGGCTGGGACTAGATGAGGGGGCCAGGTATGAAGCATGAAGGCTGATGAGGTGAATGATGGTGCATGGAGGTCAAGGCGTGGCAGGATCATGACCATTGACATATATATATATATATATATATATATATATATATATATATATATATATATATATATATATATATGGACAATGGGTTTCCATAGACTCCAATAACACGTTTTTGAGGAAAAATGGGAGGTGGCCAACACCGCCATTTTGACAGTGTCACAGGTTCCATCAAGCCCAGACAATTGCACAAAAAGGAAGAGAGGTGGAGCTGAGGATGGGGCTGTAAGGCTGGGATCAAATGACGACACCAGGTCAAACTAGCTACAAGCTAACCTGAAGCTAACGCAAAGCTAACGCAGAGGTGCGAGCTAAGCTAATGGAGGTAGCTACCTAGCTACAACCGGGGCTAACTCTGTGGAACACCATCGACCTGAAGCTCACATGGAGTTTGTGTGAAGGTTTGTGGCACTTTTTCATGAAAACTATCTTTCTGTGAATAAAAAAGTATGAAATCGATAAGTTTATGTTATTTCCTTAATAAAAATATATTTTGCTTTAAGCAAGTTTTCATTATTTTTAACGTACCGTATTTTCCAGACTATAAGTCACTCCGGAGTATAAGTCGCACCAGACATAAAATGTATAATGAAGAAGAAAAAAACATTTATAAGTCGCACTGGACCATAAGTCGCATTTTGGGGGGACATTTTATTATTTTTATTACAAAATTTGAGACCAAGCGTTTCACATTGCAAGACAAGTATCGGTAACAATAACAGAATAAACAACGCGGCGCAGCAGAGCGCCACGGTCTCCAGCAGAGGATGGCAGTGTTTAAAACCCTCCCAGCGGGACAGGGGAGCTCATTCCTGGGTCGGAGCCAGCCCGCAGCAGCGTGCCACATTGTCCAGCAGGTGATGGCTGTGTGTTTTTAGTTCCCTGCGGGTCAGGGGAGCTCACTCCTGGGCTGGTGTTACACTAAATTCTGCGACCCATCACAATTTGTGACCCCAGGGGGCAGTGTTGCGTTTTGTTGCGTCTGTAAATCCTGAATTGGCATAAAAGAAGAAGATGCTACGTTAAAACCGTAAACTATGTAAGCTTTGAGGAAGTTGTGGTGCACGGACCATGGTCACACAATATGATAGTGACTATCACATAATCTGACCACCTGCATCTCAGTAATAATGCAGATGTCAGAGGTCAAATGCACTTTTTTTTATAAACTGCATCATCAGAGAAGTTACCAGAAACAGTTTGTGTGATGTAAAAGTAATTATAACTGAAGTTACAGTAAGGTCACACAATATGATAGTGACTATCACAGAATGTGACCACCTGCATCTCAGTAATAATGCAGATGTCTTTAATTTTCACTAAAGATAATAATAACAAAAAAAAAAAAAAGCGTTTTGTGATGTTTGTGCCATTGTATTTCCCTTTTATCTCCACCAGTACATATGAGTGGCATTGGAGTGACAGAAGAAAAAAAACGTAATAACCAGATAATCTGTAGTGGTTTCTAATAAACTGAGGATGTGGATCACAACAATTTATTTCAATAAATGGAGGTTCTGAACATTTTACCTGCGGACTTCGCATGTTGTAAAATCAATGTTTAACGTTAGCAAACATTCCTTGTCAAAGCCCTGCTTATCGCTGCATTTCTTGTCCCGTTTGTTTGCAATAAACATTAACAAATGCTCTTTTTAATATCCATGGTCCGTGCCGCACAACTTCCTCAAAGCTTACGTAGGTTACGGTTTTAACGTAGCATCTTCTTCTTTTATGCCAATTCAGGATGTACAGGTGCTGGCCAGTAAATTAGAATATCATCAAAAGGTTGAAAATATTTCAGTAATTCCATTCAAAACGTGAAACTTGTACATTATATTCATGCAATGCACACAGACCAATGTATTTCCAATGTTCATTACATTTAAATTTGATATTCATAAGTGACAACTAATGAAAACTCCAAATTTGGTATCTCAAAAAATTAGAATATTCTGAAAAGGCTGAATATAGAAGACACCTGCTGCCACTCTAATCAGCTGATTTACTCAAAACACCTGCAAAGGCCTTTAAAAGGTCCCTCAGTCTTGTTTTGAAGGCACCACAATCATGGGGAAGACTTCTGACTTAACAGCTGTCCAAAAGACAATCATTGACACCTTGCACAAGGAGGGCAAGACACAAAAGGTGATTGCTAAAGAAGCTGGCTGTTCGCAGAGCTCTGTGTCCAAGCACATTAACAAACAGGCGAAGGGACGGAAAAAATGTGGTAGAAAAAAGTGTACAAGCTCTAGGGATAACCGCACCCTGCAGAGAATTGTGACGACAAACCCATTCAAAAATGTGGGGGAGATCCACAAAGAGTGGACTGCAGCTGGAGTCAGCGCTTCAAGAACCACCACGAGGAGACTCATGAAAGACATGGGATTCAGGTGTCGCATTCCGTGTGTCAAGCCACTCTTGAACATGAAACAGCGCAAGAAGCGTCTCGCCTGGGCCAAGGACAAAAAGGACTGGACTGATGCTGAGTGGTCCAAAGTTATGTTTTCTGATGAAAGCAAGTTCTGCATTTCCTTTGGAAATCAAGGACCCAGAGTCTGGAGGAAGAGCGGAGAAGCACAGAATCCACGTTGCATGAGGTCCAGTGTAAAGTTTCCACCGTCAGTGATGGTGTGGGGTGCCATGTCATCTGCCGGTGTTGGCCCACTCTGTTTCCTGAGGTCCAGGGTCAATGCAGCCGTCTACCAGGAAGTTTTAGAGCACTTCATGCTTCCTGCTGCTGACCAACTTTATGGGGATGCAGACTTCACCTTTCAACAGGACTTGGCACCTGCACACAGTGCCAAAACCACCAGCACCTGGTTCAAGGACCATGGTATCCCTGTCCTTGATTGGCCAGCAAACTCGCCTGACCTTAACCCCATAGAAAATCTATGGGGTATTGTGAAGCGGAGGATGCAATACGCTAGACCCAACAATGCAGAGGAGCTGAAGACGACTATCAGAGCAACCTGGGCTCTCATAACACCTGAGCAGTGCCACAGACTGATCGAGTCCATGCCACGCCGCATTACTGCAGTTATTGAGGCAAAAGGAGCCCCGACTAAGTATTGAGTGCTATACATGCACATTCTTTTCATGTTCATTCTTTTCAGTTGGCCAACATTAGAGAAACAAACATTTTTTCATTGGCCTTTAGAATATTCTAATTTTCTGAGATACCAGATTTGATGTTTTCATTGGTTGTCACCTATAAATATCAAAATTAAACGTAATAAACATCGGAAATACATTGGTCTGTGTGCATTGCATGAATATAATGTACAAGTTTCACGTTTTGAATGGAATTACTGAAATATTTTCAACCTTTTGATGATATTCTAATTTACTGGCCAGCACCTGTATAGACGCAACAAACTGCAACACTACCCCTGGGGTCACAAATTGTGATGGGTTGCAGAATTTGGTGTAACACCGGATCAGGCGCGTAACGATGCGCCAAAGGCTCCAGCAGGTGATGGCTGTGTGTTTTTTATTCTCAGTGGGGCAGGGGAGCTCATTCCTGGTCTGCAGCCGGCCCGCAGCAGCAGCGCGGTATAGCCTGCATAGTTTGGTATAGAAGTCGCTCTGAGTATAAGTCGTAGGACTGGCCAGACTATGAAAAAAAGTGCGACTTATAGTCTGGAAAATATGGTAGTTATTAGTATTTGAGATAAATTAGCAGGCTAAATACATTTCATATATTTCCAAAACATAATACTTGTTTGTATCTTGTACAGCC